TACTTTAGGGTCAACTCTAGAAGGGAGCTCTGATGGCATAGTGGTCAGGAGTCCACTGTTCTACAAAAGAAAATCTCTGTGCCGTAAAAAGTTAGTCTCAGAAACTCACAGGGGCAGCTGGACCTACAGGGTCACTGTGACTCGGCTCTCTGCCTGTGAGTTTGGGTTTTTTTTGAGTCAAGAGAATGATATTTCTTGATACCTGGCAATTTACAGACCAGTGGGGCAGCAGAGAGTTAAACAATTAGCTCGTCTACTGAGGCGAGTGTAGGCCTGAGAGCTAGACAGTAAGTAGGCTCCATTCAGGGAAGGATTTAGAGCAGACGGGAAAAGGCCACTTGGCCAGCTGAGGGGACAGACTGGGCCCTGTGCAGAAGGCCTCTGAGGTCCTCTAAGAGCAGGGAGTTGCTAAGAAACTCCTGGCTTTCCCAGTTTTCTAGAATGTGTTTTATTGAAGGGTGGGGTAGGGTAAGGGAGGCTGTCTTATTTTTAATGTAGTCAACTCTTTATAACAGAGCCACCCTAGTTAGTGGTAGTGTGGTTACCTATTGAGCTGCGGTCTGCAAGGTTAGCAATTCGAAACCACCAGCCGCTTCAAGGGAGAAAAAAAGACAAGACTTTCTATTCCTGTAAAGAGTTACAGTCTTAGAAACCCACAGGGAAAGTTCTACCCTGTCTAGCAGTGAAGTTTTTGCAATAGTTTCCATCGCTCTTGTTCAGGACCAGTAATGTTTTCACCCAGCGGGCATTTGTACAAGAAATCCAGTCTGAAACTTCCCTCTATACCCTTTCATTTTTCCGGCGTTTAGAACACCCTCTTGCTGAAGGAGCATCTTGACTGGCCTGCTTCCAGAATGTGCACCACTGTGTCTTGCTGGGTCTTCAATTCTGCGCGGAACAGCATTGCCACCGTCCAAGGGAGCAGGCGTTTCTACTCCAGGTGGATCTCAAGTAGGACTAAGTCAAAATGCAGGCTCTTCTCCCAGGCGCTGTCCCCGCCGAGAATCACGGCCCCACGCAGCAGCGGCTTCGGGCGGCAGAAAGCTTACAGGCACACGTCCACGGAGGAGGACGACTTCCACTTGCAGCTGAGCCCCGCGCAGGTGAATGAAGTGCTGCGAGCCGGGGAGTCGGCCCTCAAGATTCTAGACCTTGACCGTAGAGCCCCAAATGCAGTGTTGCGGTTCGAGAGCAACCAGCTGGCCGCCAACTCCCCCGTGGAGGACCGGAGGGGGGTAGCTGCCTGCCTGCAGACTGGTGGGTTGATGTTTGGTATCTTCGATGGGCATGGCGGCCACGCGTGTGCCCAGGCAGTGAGCGAGAGGCTCTTCTACTATGTGGCCGTGTCCCTCATGTCCCACCAAACCCTGGAGCAGATGGAGGCGGCGATGGAGAGCATGAAGCCCCTGCTGCCCATCCTGCAGTGGCACAAGCACCCGGGGGCCAGCATCTACAAGGATGTCACGTCGGTGCACCTCGACCACCTCCGCGTCTACTGGCAGGAGCTGCTAGACCTGCACATGGAAGCGGGGCTGGGCATGGAGGAGGCGCTCACCTACTCCTTCCGGAGGCTGGACTCTGACATCTCGCTGGAGATCCAGGCCCCCCTGGAGGACGAGGTGACCAGGAACCTCTCGCTCCAGGTGGCTTTCTCGGGGGCAACAGCTTGCCTGGCCCACGTCGAGGGGGTTCACCTGCACGTGGCCAACACCGGTGACTGCCGGGCCATCCTGGGCGTCCAGGAGGACAGCGGCAGGTGGTCCTGCGTGCCCCTCACCCAGGACCACAATGCCTGGAACCAGGCTGAGCTGTCACGGCTCAAGAGGGAGCACCCGGAGTCGGAGGACCGGACGATCATCATGGATGACCGGCTGCTTGGCGTCCTCATGCCCTGCAGGGCCTTTGGTGACGTCCAGCTCAAGTGGAGCAGAGAGCTGCAGCGCAGCGTCCTGGAGCGGGGCTTCGACACCGAGGCCCTCAACATCTACCAGTTCACGCCTCCCAACTACTATACCCCCCCCTACCTGACGGCTGAGCCCGAGGTCACGTACCACCGGCTGAGGCCCCAGGACAGGTTCCTGGTGCTGGCTTCCGACGGGCTGTGGGATGTGCTGGACAATGACGCCGTGGTCAGGCTGGTGGTGGAGCACCTGACCGAGGCCAGCCGCCACCAGCCCGACATGGCCCAGCGACCCACCAAGCTGGGCCTCATGCAGGACCTACTGCTGCAGAGGAAAGCTAAGGGGCTCCACGCCGCCGACCACAACGCGGCCACCCACCTGATCCGGCACGCCATTGGGAGCAATGAGTATGGGGAGCTTGAGCCGGAGCGCCTGGCCGCCATGCTGACGCTGCCCGAGGACCTGGCACGCATGTACAGGGACGACATCACCATCACTGTGGTGTATTTCAACTCCAACTCGATTGACGCCTATCACAGGGGGCTCCAGGAGCCGCCCGCTCAACTGCCAAGGCCATCGTAAATGCTCCTCCAGCGACATTTCTGAGCCCGGGCAGCTGACGTACGTAGCTTGAGGAACCACCGGTTCACGGGAGGGACATACACCGAACTTAGGGTTCGAGACAAAAGCAGCGATGACCTGGGCCAACCCTCTGTGCGGTGCAGGCAGAGAGGAGAGACATGGGAATGGCCGAGGAGTCACGAAGCCCAAGTCCTTTTAAAGAGACCTTTGGTCGTGAAACAGGGCCCCCTTCACCTCCCGGTGGAAATCCAATCACCCGTCTAAGAAGAACGCTGCCGGGCCTTCTGTGGTCTTGCCGAAAACCCTGCACACTCACCATTCTGATCTCACAGCCTTGGACGCCTGGCCGTGGAAAGCGGGGGCACCCTTGTTTGCTTTTTTCCGGCTGTGGCCTCAGTTTACAAGCCATCGCACAGGGCTCTCTTCTATGCCATAGTCTAGCTCAGTGGTTCTCAACTTTCCTCATGCCTCGACCCTTTCATACAGTTCCTCATGTGATGGTGACCCCGAACCATACAATTATTTTCATTGCTACTCCATCACTAATTTTGCTACTGTTATGAATCGGGCAACCCCTGTGAAAGGGCTGTTCAACCCCCCAAAGAGGTCATGGTGAGAACCACGTGGTGAAAACCGCTGGTCTAACTGATTCCATTTGCAGAACCCTTGGTGATGAGGTATTCTCATTAGAAAATTAGTCCTGCGGACAGGACTCCCTTGCTTTGCTGCAAGCAGACTTGTCCTGGCTGTCGGCTGAGGGGCAGGAGGGCCTAGGACTGCCCTTGGCTGAGCACTGTGACCCTGAGCCTTTGGAAAAAACATCTGTGACTCCTTCACTCCTGGCCTTCCACACAGGGGAAGACTTCCTCCTGGATTTTGCCTCTGGGACAAGGGGTGGGGATGGGAGTGTTGTTCTTAATCTTTCCGATGCTGCCTCTCAAAAATCCTTCGAAGTCCACCTCACTGCCATCCTCCTACCTCTGGTGAGGGGATTACCCCCACCACCACCACCCCAGCCGCAGGCACAAGACTGTGTGCGGAAATGTGCTCACAGGCCCTCCTTTCAAATGGTTCCCAGGAGTGAGTGATCGTGATTGCCTTTGGTAGTTATTGATACACATGGATGTAGGCAGGGCAAGCTTAGCCAATACACTGGGGGCCTAGCCTAAATGCCGAGAGGGGAGACCTCAAAGGGGAAGACCAATCACTGAAGGAGGCTCCCCGGAGAGGCGGGGGGAACAGTCTCATTGCTACTCTCTCAGGAAGTAGACCAGGCTAGCCTGGCAATTGGGACAAAACAAAACGGAGCCAGTAATGGTTTCTGTAGGCGGCTGGGTCATTGCACTGACTCAGAAATGGAGGCATTTGGATGCTTCTGAGCGAGCCCGTGGGTGCTTAAACACCGGAAGGAATCCCAAAGTGGAAGGACAAATAAACCCCCACAGGCAATGTTTCCTGACCACATGGGACTGACTTGGCCCTATCAGTCGGTCCCCTCCTGCTCACCTCGCTGCCCCTAGAAATGGGAGAGCAACTAAACTGGATTTGGCGACTGCCTTTCCGTCTGACCCAGCTGACATCCAGCAGTGGCCTGGGCTACCTTGGGGCTGTTTCTCTGCAGTTTCCTAAAGCAAGGCTTTAAGGACATAGGACCTCAACAAAGAAACCCTCTCACCCTCTCCGCTCTTTCCTTCCGAAGCCATTAGGATTCTTTCCGACTTCTTTGGGCTTCACTTGGAAGTAAATGTGAATTATGGCCATTCTGGTAGCAGAGAAGCTGACTGCTAGAAGCAGGGACCGGTCCGAATCGTTTGTTCTTTCTACTACCCCTGGAGCAGTTACCCAGGTGACGGTGACTGAGTTCTGTGTTGGAGTCTAATGTGGGGTCACCAATACATCTGATTCAGTAGCGTATGGGACCACAGAGAAAATCCAGATGACTCCGTCAGTTCCTCCAAGTGTGTCTGGTTTGTTTTCTCTTTCTCTGTTCTAGTTGATAGGTTGAGAGGAGAAAGGCTAGTTGAACTGACCTGCTTTTTCTCACAGTGAACCCTATCACCTCTTCCCAGGGACGCTCCCCGGCGCCCCTCCTCCTTCCTGGGTGAGCCAGGATCCTGCCCTGTGGTCTTCCTGAGGACCCTGGGATCTGAGAGGGTTAGTACACTTCCCAGCTCCTTCAGAGGATTTTTCATCCCTTGAATCGACAGCAAGGTCAATGTGGAGACGCTGGAAATGAAGACTCCGTGTTTTAATATTAGAGATGGCACTTGGGAAGACACTATATATGCTTTGGTGCTTCAAACAGCGTATTTATCATTTTAGATGAGAAACGTTGGTAATACTGGCATAATTAGATGCTTTATGTATAAATCATTCAGCCCTACTGATTCTGGTACTTGATCCAAATGGGCATTCACAATCGAAAGGGATACGCCAGTCAAGTTCTTTTGATTCACCGTCCTGAGCTGCCTTCTGTGACATAAACTGGTGTTCAGGATGGAAATGTGAACTCTGAGGCATGCTTGCTACACTCGAGTGTGATTTTCTGAGAAGTGGGTCTGGCCTGAAAGATCCTTCAGGTGGGCACGCTGGGTAAGATTCTGCTTGGAGACCATTGGATTGGGTCCCTTTTCCGAGCAGATTACATGTCGTCAGCAGCTCTGACTTGAGTTAAAGCTTGGGATACTTCATTGTGTGGAACAAATACATGTGTGGAGGCGTGTACCCAGCGCAGCCAGCATGATTCTTCCCAGGTTAGACCAGCGTGGCCTGGAACGGAGTCGTGCTTCATTGGTCTCCCACTGTGACTGCAAACAAGCCTGCAGGATCTTGGATCTGGGTGATGGAGGCTGCTGGTACCGCTTGTGCTGCTGTGGGCTGCCCTGTGGGTCATTTGAGTGGAAAGGCCTACTTGGGAGGTGCTAGAGACTCAGCCCCTTTCACCCCGGGCACCTTGCTTCCTGAAAAAATATTTCTTAAACATCTACTTGGGGAAATGATTAACCATGTTCTTTAATAATTACTGACATTTGTATTTTAAGCAGTATACCAACGTTTGTACTTGACACTGATTTTCTAACCATTCCAGATATTTAAATGAAACCTGTAAATAAAAGAAGCAAAAATGAAGGCTGCTTTGGGTCCAAATACTTTTTTTTTTTTAAAGAAACCTTAAGGTACTAGAGCCAGCCAGCCTGTGGGTCACCAACTTTATCTGGCCGGGCTGGACCAGCTAGCTTATCCAGGCATCCACCCAGAAGGAGTTTGGTGGTTTGGGGCTGCTGACTACCCATTAACCATCTGTGTGAGCCTGAAAAGAGCAAAACAAAGATGAGAGCTTCCTTGGTTAGGGTCCGAACACTCCACGCCAAGGCCTGATGAGCTTTGATGTTATCTCACCGAGTTTGAAAACCAGCTTATAAAGGCCAGCTTCTGAGTTCATATTAAGTACAGAGGCCGTTCTGGGGGAAAGGACTCGCCAGATACCTAGATGGAGCTGCATTTTAAGAAGCACCTGTTTGTGTTAGTCTGGATTGACTAGAGAAACAAATTCATAGACACTCGTGTGCATAAGAAAGCTTTATATACAAGAGAAATTAAATATTGAAAAAACATGCCAGCCCAGTGCAGATCAAGTTCATAAATTGGATATTAGCCCATATGTCCGATACCAGTCTATAAACTCCTCTTTAGACTCACACAACTCATGTAGGAAGATCACAGGCCTGTGAGTGGAAAGTCTTAAGGATCCAGTGGCAGTGGAAGCATTTCAGTGCTAGTGTGGGTCGCCATGTGGCTCCTCCGGCTCTAGGACTCTGACTCCATCAGTGTCTCCATGTGGCTTTTCAACATGAGTGTGTAGCAGAGAACCTGTGTCCCGCCTCCAGAGAGGAAGACAGGAGTTCCCAGAATCCTCAGAAGGCCATGCCCACATAAGATATCTCATTGGCTATGGTCTGATTGACAAGCTAGACTCCACCCCTTCGCAGGTTGACAGGAGATTATGTAACCACCACAACCATAATTCAAATCCATTCACACTTCAATCTTCCTTATTCAATGTCCAATTTTCACAAGCAGACGAGGCTACTGAACACACCATGGCTTGGAGCAGGCACTGCTTAGTCCTTAAAGTAACACCCTTGCCTCTCAACACTCCAAAGAGGTCTTGTGCAGCCGATTTCTCCAATGTCCTTTGATCTCTGGACTGCTGCTCCCATGAGCATCGATGGTGGATCCCATGTAGGACCCTATTTTATTTTATGTATTTATCATTTTATTAGGGGCTCATACAACTCTTATCACAATCCATACATACATTAATTGTGTAAAGCACATTTGTACATTCATTGCCCTCATTCTCAAAACATTTGCTCTTCACTTAAGCCGCTGGCATCAGCTCCTCATTTTTCACCTCCCTCCCCACTCCCCCCTTCCCTCATGAACCCTTGATAATTTATAAATTATTATTTTGTCATATCTTGCCCCGTCCGACGGTCGGACCCTATTTTAAACCAAATTCAGAGCGTGTGCATTTGTTCCAACACCAAACTTGCAGAAGGGAAGGGAGTAATGCCTGAACATTCTCTCCTGACACAAGTTTGCCCTAAGGGCTGGGGGTGGAAGGAAAGGGAGGTGGTGCTGGAAAACTGGGGTTCATGGCCATTGCTGAGAATGAGAAAGCCCCAGTGGCCTTGTGGGGCTTTTTCCCTTTGTAAGGAATTGCCATTTCACAGAAGCCATGGGAGCAGTTCTACCATGATCTGTAGGGTCACTGCGAGTCCAGAACTGACACAAGGACAGGGACTTTGGTCTTGTGTTGGTTCGTTCTCAGGAAGACTTGAGCCCTTACTGATCAAGCTGCACGTAATGGGCACACAGTTCAAGGTCCTGTCATCTTTGAACATGGTGTAAAAAAATAAAAGGCATCCCAAACTGGCAGGGTAGAGACCCATAACGTGGAGAGAGAAGCGAAATTGGAGGGTGGGGGAGTGGGGTGGAGTTGGGGATAGAAATCGGTGGAGGGGGGATTTGAAGAGTGGTTTGAACTGTTGAATGTAGAGTTGATGGTCTGTAATGTAACACACACACACACCTAATTCACAATGCACAATCCATTAAAAAACTCAAAGGGTTAAAGAGCTGAGATGTCTCTGAAGACCAAAGTGTGCCCGATGCACACCAGGATAATTTCAATCACCTTTCCACGAATCTTCGGGAATCACCTCCTTCCCTTTTGCAGGTGTGGTGTTGGACCAGTGCCTGTGAAAGCTGGGAAGCGAATAAGGAAGACCAAGGACGAATGGATGTGTTTTAAGTTGCGGTGCTGGTCTAGAGCATTGAACCAGAAAAACTGACCCACCGTTCTGTCTCGGAGGAAATACCGCCAGAAGCATCCTCCCTAGAAGCAGGATGGGGAGACTTCTCAAGTGCCTTTTTGAAGGGAGTTTATTGGGGAACTTAAAACAGGTTGCCACAAGTCAGGATCAGTAACCAGTAAGCAACACCTCT